CTAATGCCAACCTAGACTGTAAAGTCTATCCTCTCAATCCCGCCGAACAGGAGGAGCTGGACAAGTTCTTGGACGAGAATTTGTCCACCGGGCGTATTCAGGCCTCCAAGTCCCCTATGGCGTCGCCATTTTTCTTCGTCAAGAAGAAAGATGGGAAACTCCGCCCAGTCCAGGACTATAGGAAACTCAACGAGATGACCATTAAGAACCGGTACCCCTTACCACTTATCGGAGAACTGATGGATCGATTGAAGGGAGCCAAGTACTTCACCAAGCTGGACGTGCGATGGGGTTACAACAACGTCAGGATCAAGCAGGGGGATGAGTGGAAGGCTGCCTTCCGCACCAACCGTGGCCTCTACGAACCTCTCGTAATGTTCTTCGGACTCACGAATTCCCCTGCAACGTTTCAATGGATGATGAACGATATCTTTAAAGATCTCATCACTGCAGGAGAAGTATCGGTCTACTTGGATGATATCCTTATTGCGTCAAAAGACAAGAAGGACCACAGATGTATCGTACACAAGGTACTCCAAATCCTTCGCGAGAACAAACTCTTCCTTAAAGCGGAAAAATGCGAGTTCGAAGTAGAAGAGACGGAGTATTTGGGAGTACTTATCAGCGAAGGGAAGGTACGCATGGACCCCGTAAAGATCGCCGGCCTCCTCGACTGGCCGGCCCCTTCAAAGAAACAAGAACTACAGTCATTTTTAGGCTTCTGCAATTTCTATCGACGGTTCATCCGCGACTATAGCAAGCATGTTAAACCGCTTACTATCCTGACGGGAAAAGTGGAGTGGCGGTGGGGAAAGGCCCAACAAGAGGCGTTTGAGAAGTTAAAAAGGATGTTCCAGGAGGACGTGGTACTAGCGATCCCGCTAGACGAGGGAAAGTTTCGGGTAGAGGCCGACTCCAGTGAAGGAGCAATTGGAGCCATATTATCCCAATGGCAGGACGAGAAGTGGCGGCCAGTCACTTTCCTCTCGAAATCCCTCTCGGTCACTGAATGGAATTACGAGATCTATGACAAAGAACTCCTAGCTATAATGATTGTGCTAGAAGAGTGGCGACAGTACTTGATGGGAGCTCGGGAAGACTTTGAGATCTGGACGGATCACTCCAATCTCCAGTACTTCCGAAAGCCCCAAAAGCTCAATCAACGCCAGGCCCGCTGGGTCACCGAGCTGGCGGAATACCAGTTCACCCTGCACCATAAGCCGGGGGCCCAGAATCGCAAGGCCGATTTACTTTCTAGGCGAGCGGATCACGACCAAGGGAAAGACGACAACCGGGATGTGACGGTCCTAAAACTGGCTCACTTCCGTGCTCTTATCATGCCTACCACAGAGGAACTACACGAGAAAATCAAACTAGCCACGTATGACCCACGTAAGTGGGACCGAGGAATCTCAGACTCCCTTAATCATGAAAAAGGGGTCTCCCGAGACCAAGGGCTACTCTGGTACGATGGTCGTATCTATGTACCCAAGGATCGACAACTGCGGGGCGAGATCATAGCCCTACGACATGACCACGCGACCGCAGGACACCCGGGCGTGGAAAAGACAAAAGAGCTCATTTTACGAGACTATTGGTGGCCCCGGATACGCTCAGAAGTGGAGGCCTATGTGAAGGGATGCGAGGCCTGTCAAAGAACAAAGGCGGATCACTGACCCAAGAAGGCCCCCCTCTATCCAAATGAGGTCCCAAGTCGGCCGTGGACACACATTTCAGTTGACATGATCACCAAACTTCCCGACTCGAGGGGAAACAACTCCATCCTCGTAATAGTCGATAGATTCTCCAAGACGATAATTCCGATCGCATGCACCGAGGAATTGTCCTCTCTCAGCTTCGCAAAAATCTTGCGAGACTACATCTATGTGCCATACGGGGTAATGCCGGAGAAAGTAATCTCGGACAGAGGGACCGTTTTTGTGTCCAAATTCATGAAAGAGTTCTACACTCTCATTCATACAACAGGGAACCCTTCGACCGCGTATCACTCGCAGACAGACGGACAGACCGAAAGAGTTAATCAAGAAATTGAAAAATACCTCAAGATGTTCGTTAATTACCGCCAGGACGATTGGAGTGATTGGTTGCCGCTCACCGCGTTTACTCATAACAACCGAAAACATTCGGCAACGGGTTTCTCCCCCTATAAAGTAGTCTTTGGACGAGACGGGCAGGTTATCAAAACCACTCAACACCCTGACGCGGTACCAGCCGCTTCCAAGTTGGTGCAAGGAATACAGGAGGTGCATGAAAAGGCAAAGGAATCGCTTGAACGAGCGGCCGACTCGATGAAGAAGGCTTATGACAAGCGAAAAGGAGAGTCGAGAAAGTATGAAGTCGGCGACAAGGTGTGGTTGGATTCCACCAACCTAAATCTCCCTCGTCCAACAAAGAAGTTGGGGGACAGACGCGTCGGGCCCTTTGCGATCACGGCCAAGAAAGGGGCTTCAGCGTACGAGCTCAAGCTCCCTGTGAAATGGCGCATCCATAACCGATTCAACGAGTCGCTCTTGACTCCATACCATACTCCCGAATTCCCAAACCAACCGCGTCCTGAAAGACCACCCCCTGACTTAATTGACAATGAAGAAGAATATGAGATTGAGGAAATTGTCGAGGAGAGGGATCGTATCATCGGTCGTGGAAGAACCCGCCGAACCATCACTGAATACTTAGTACGGTGGAAAGGATACCCAATCGAAGAAAACTCGTGGGTTAAACGTTCCGACATGGCCAATGTGGAAGAACTCGTCAATGACTACGAAGTGCATATTCAAAAGGTCTTTTGGATGGTAAACGACAGAGGAAAAGCTATTGGTATTGATGACAAGATACCTCGAAATCTGCCAATCGAATACCACGATCCCGATACCCCCTGCGTCACCGACATCGAAACAGTGTATTCCTCTGAGTGCACGAACCCAAGACACTCCGACACCCAACAAGATTCTTATCCCTCTTCCGAAATCATTGACAATATCGAACTCCCCGACGAATGCCCAGATAGAGAAGAGGAGGTAAATCTCCAAAACCTCGAAAGGATACATGAAAATTGGGACACAGCGTCAGACACCGATGACAACGAGGACGACGATACTTGGTCATACTACTCAGTATCAAGGCATTCCAGTGCAGACGAAGAAAGTGACTCGGACGTCTCCTTTGAGACGAAAGAGTCCTAAACAAGTTGAAGCATGCTACGGCATAGAAGGGGATTACCGCTGCTCACAAGAGCAATGAACCCTTAGGATCATGGAGGATCCGACAGACAGCTGAGGACTAACCGGCGCAAGGTGGCTCAGGATTTCTACGGACGGCTGAGTCCAGGTGGCGGGCGGGTCAGAGGCCAAACACAACGAGTGACTCTTTCGGGTGTAGCGGAGGCCCAAACAAAACCGTTTTAAAGCAGAAGGGAGACCCTCATTCTCGCTCATGTGGAACGAAGGGGAACACGAAGGTTCAGTGTCTCATCGGGACGAATGAGCCTTAAGGAGGGGGTAATGTTACGATTTATTCTTTTCTTTTCTTTTCTTTTCTTTTTCTTCATGACTCAGCCAGATTACGCATATGCGATCATCACGGACTGATTCCCACAGTACTATTTTTAGTATACCAACGTGTATTTAAGTAGAGCCTCAGCTGGTCTAAACCCCAGCTTCGGCTAAGGTTTAATCTACCTAACCTCGAACTCCGTCCTTCGTGACTATCTGTCCCATCAGCTTTCATCGCCTTTGACTTACTGGAGCATTGCCTACCGAAGTGCGAGTAGCGATCCTAGTACGATCTAAGTCGATAAGAGTTAGTGGCTAACATTATACTAGGATTATATCAGATTCACAGCATCCTCCCCAAAAAGTAGCCTCATTTGCATACCAAGTTAGTCATATAGGTAACCCCTGTCACTCAATGAGATTTATGACTAAGCAGGCCATCCAGCTCGATGGCCCAATTTCAAATTCTATCATCGAGATCAAAACAGGCAATAGGTCTAGACTTTGGACTTGCACCTTGGCTTCAAAACGGCCAGAAGCGTATTTGCTGCTGCATATCTGGCGTGCCATGCACTCAGCGACCACTTAGCTGAGAAGACACACAGCCAGGGAAGCCCAGAGCCCAGCAAGCGATGAAGCTTTGTTAAATGCAATTACTATTCTGCCCATAAATTCATCCTTTCTTTATGCCTGAAAACAGTCTCGACTGAAGATGAATCACCATCTCCTGATGTTGCTTCCAAGGACTTTGCTTTCAGTCCTGACGCTCTTGAATCCGCAAATAAGCTGTCTTTTGAAGACTTTGTCCAACACATCTTATCAAGCTCCTGCTTGACGACTTGGCCAAAATCACATCAATGGAAACAATCTTACCATATGTCACCAAATTATGCCGGCTTGAGTGCCACATAGCAGAGCTGTTTCAATTGTGAGGACTTAGACTCAAATTCAAGCAAATGAGCATCTATCTAGACCATATTCAGATTCAGAGAAGGAGAACATGGTCTATTCATGGATGAGGTAGGCAGTATACACCAATTTCCTTGCCGCCTTTTCTTATATGTTGTACCAGCAGACAACCTCATCATTCCATTCCACAAGCACCAACCTCATCGTGAAATGCATCCCTGCCTGGACAGCCCCAAGTGCCTCTGGCCCGATTATAATACGATTTTCTCCTTTTTTTTGGAATGTATATTTTGAAACAGCAAGTGCAACCTGTAATGTAATTATGTACAGAGCCTGGAAGCTCATCCATGACAGGGGTGGAATCCAAGAATGCGCAGATATATTTTGAGTGCGGGTTAGCACTTGAGTCATGTTGCAAGGGGCAAAAAACGCAGAAACTAGTATGATTGACAGTTATTGCTTTACTTTAGCCACAATAAACATAGTTTTGAAATTGTTAGAAGAGAAACATAAATTGGCTAAAGGCTGTCACAAAAAAGCACACATCCTTAGCACATACAAGTATTTCATACAAAGGCATTATAGAACGGACTTGCTTGGCATGTACTCCAAGTGCATAGATTCATCCTCACCTGACATTGGTTCTGACTTGATGTCAGATTCCTGAAGCTCCTCAGGAGCATCCTTCTTTTTCTCTGTATCATCATCCTTTGACCGACTGTCATCTCTGCCATGGCCATCCTCTTTCTTTCCTAATTCACAGTCATCTCCATCACTATCATCTATATCATCTTCAACATCAGAGCAATCAAAATTGGTGGCTGTATTCCAGTCGAAATAGGCACCCGGATCTGTTGTGATTGTTAGATTAGCATATGTGTCAAATTCCCCACTTACCAAGGAGGTCAACTTTCTTGCAAACCAAAAATATGGGCCTAACATGCAAACGTGCCACCCATCGCTTGTATGCATGGAGAAAGTCGGTGGTCAGCTCCATTTGCAAAAAGGTCTCCAACGAATTGGCAACATCTTGACGAAATGAATCAAAATTAAACATGAGGGATTCATGTTCTCCCTGAGCCTTGCGCACTCTTAAAGCCTTTTGAGCGTAGAAGATCAAAGAATGCCCAAAGTGAGCTGCGGAGCTTCTAGCAAAATCCCCAATGTTGAGAAACTGAGCATAGACGCTTAATTTGTTGTCAACAAGGATGGTGGAATTGATGGAGGGCTCGACGGCATTATTTTCTGCAAGGAAAACTAAACCAAAATCCACCCGCAGATGCCGGATTATGGATATGTAGGCACCTATGGCCATGGTGATTGCGGGCCTCGTGGTGTCGGCGGAGTCTGGCAGGATGCAAGGAAGTAAGGCTGATCCGAATATACACAGATTTCCCAATGCAATGAGTTTGAGCAGTCCATCTCTTGTTATACTGGGAATATCTGTGTCTTGAGCTAGTAGTATTGGTAAAAGCAAAGAATGCCACTAGTTAGAACTGCTCACTTTCAGGACCTTTCTCACCAATAACAGTGTGAAAGTAACACATCATATGAAGGAGGAGCTGATGAAGCTCCAGGTGTACAACATTGATGATCCTGTACCCAAGCATACATGTATGAACCCAGCCTGAGATGGTTTTCGAAAGGGTAACAGTGGAATAGAAATGACCGCCCCTCACAATGCAGTTCTCGAGCATCAGAACAGCATGATGAGTATCCAGATGCATATAACTTCCTTCGTGTTAGAATGTTTCAACATATTGCAGCATGAACTTACAAGGCAGAGCTGGGTTCCAGCAAAACAACTTCGGCCTCCCATTCCCTAGGATCCGGAATAAATCCAGGCACCCAATCACCCATATACTCGTCTATATGACTGTCTTGTCTTTGACTCCCATGATGCTGAAACATGTACCACAACTTCTGCCCACAAAGAACTTCCACGAAGGTACCAACACCGTGACAATCAGAATGAATATAACTGATTGCTCCTTTCATCATGACTAACCAGAAATTTGTTGCTGAGATTGGATAACTGGCATCGAAGATATCTTCTGGAAGGTCAGATGTCTGCTCAAAGGCTCTGATGTGGCTTGATACAATCCTAACATTCATGAGCCTCCAAAATGAAATGAGCTAAGGTTTTCAATGTACAATTGTAAAGGGTGTCCAGTTTCAGAAGTGCTGCAGGGCAGAGAGAGTGCGTTTAAAACATGTCCTTCATCTTCCAGGCCTTCCTCATATATTTCACGTAAGGAAAGATTGACATGAAGATAGTCCTTTGTCTGGTCGGAGCTTCGCCTTTGATGATCTAGTGGAGCGTAAGGATCAATATTTCACAGAAGGAGTGAGCCTAACCTTGGATCTCTCGGACAATATCGACATTGCCAACCTTAGATAGGTCGTTCAATGACCAGGTGAGAGGTGAAGTCTTTGTGCCATAAAGGAATATGTGGTAGTTACGGAAGGTCTCCAGGGTTGCCGTAGGATTCTTCATTGCATTGGAAAAGCTCAGAGTCATGATCATTGATTCTTCCAAGCCCTTTCCTGTGTTGGGCTTGTACCAGGGACTACCTGTCTTGTCATTAACAATGCAATCATTCCAACTGCAAATGGTGATTCGATCATCAAGCTCCTAATAAAAAGTGAATATCTAAGATTTCCGAGAGAGAGAGAGTACTAACATTGGACAGCAAGGGAAAAAATCGCAAGAAATGTACTCCTTTCTCTTCGGATCCCAAAGGATTGGAGAAACAATATTTGCCCCAGAACGAGAGAGACCTCGATTGAGCTTGGTTTTTTTCAACAAAAGAGTGTCCCCAGTATTGCCAAAAGCTTCAGATTGCGCCCTTTTCCACCCTGCGACTGATGGAATAACAGTAGTCATTCCTATGGATGGTGCCATCAACATTAACTTCCACCAGTTTGAGTGGATGTCTTGTGTTAGTCTTCGTTCATGTAGGATTTTTTGTTGTCAAGATAATGGAAAGAAGTTTTGAGAGCTTTCCTTCCGAACGGGAGGAAGCTCTTCTATGATGATGTCCTGCACGGATATCGGATCAATATCTTGAACCATCCGAAGGGGCATTATTGGTGCATCACACCATGGGGGTGACAACTCGGGTCATTCTCTGAAGTTCGGATAGTTTTCATGCCCCCATTTGTGTACTCGATAGGTTAAGATTCGATGAATTCTGGGTATTGATTCAGGTGTGAAGGGTGCAGCCTTAGATAGAGGGAACCGAGGGAGGCTTGATGACCTTCCTCGAGTCTCTAACTGTAACCGTGTGACTCTACGGGGAGAGCAGGATCTTGCTCTCTCTCCTCGTATTCAATCCGTCTTGTGACCCCCCTCACTTAATCCAGCCCTTCCTGCTTTTCCTGAGCCATTTGATCATCTCAGCACCCACCCTTGCACCCAAACCTGCAACATCATTCTGCTGGATAAAGTGAATAGCATGCTCGAACCACATATCCTCCCCATCAAATTCATCCCAAGGTGTGGCACCTGATTGCTTCTTCCTCAAAGGTTTCATATTGTTGATTAGTGGACTGATTGCTTCGAGGAAGTCCGTTAATCCAACCTCGCTCGTCCAAGAACCCCAAGCGATACCAATAATGCAACGCCAAAGGAGTTCCTCAACTCGTACGATGAGGTCTGGTTTTCCAATCGAAGACAGCCTTCCACTGACCTAAGAAAATGTAAGCGATGAATATCTGAAAGTAATAAATGATTTCTCACTTGCAAAGCAAGGGACATATTTAACGTCTGACTCATGCCTTGTCCCATAATAAGCAGAAGGGGAGGGGGCAGATGGTGTAGTGGTTACCTCTGCTTGCTCGATTGTACCTCGTTCCACACAGAAAATATTTATTTTCGCACTTGCAAGTTTGAGCCCCCCACCCTCCAGAAAGTAATGCTCTAGACACTTTCCAGGTTCTACCACTTCCGATATCCGAATCACGTGAAATGCAGCCTCCCTTTCTAAACATGATCAAGTCACGCACATTACCCCCTCTAAAATCACATGACAAATCTTATCTCTCCTTGCCATTCTGGGCATCGGTTCGAGGCCCTTCCAGTGATCTTTCGAATAAGACAGGGAAATGGAGTTGTGTGCCACAAGGCTGCCACCTGGTTGGGACCCAGGTGTAACAAAATGGAGTGGTGATCCAAGCACACCCCGGCCTGGCACATCGCCCCCGCATCAATTGATCACACTGTGTTGGTGATCTTGGCCGAGTAAGGCAGGTCTGGGAAAGAGAGACCAGAGAAGGACTGGGATTGATGGAGTTTGGTGGGAAGTAGGACTAGGCCATGAGAACGGTCTGGTGAAGAAATGACGGTGACAGATAGATTGCGGCCATTTCTCGGCAGAGGTCAGGATTTCCTAAAGTGGGAAAAGGTGGCAGTGCCCAAGTAGCACCAAGTTATCGAGGGCAAGGGATAATTTTGTGCCATAACATAAGTGCACAGCTTGTTAAGCTGACTTAATCGATGACATCATACACACAGTAACACAAGTAGCTAAATTGGACCATATGCATGCATAACCAATATACTTAGGATTTAAAAAAAAAAAAAAAGCAGAAGGGGAGAGATTGCTACGGTGTTTGCAAAGCTTTGCTTCCAACGAGGAAGGCTCTGCTTAAATTTCTTCAATGTCTCTTCATTGCCCATAATCGTTTGGATGTCAGGGTGATTAAAATTCTCATTGATAAACCTTGAAATTGGTCAAGATATTTTCTTGACTATCAAAAGCTTCCTACCTTTGCCAACATGTCATTTGCTCAACTCCACTGTGCTGAAGAAAATTTTTGTCAGAATACAATCAAATTGCTATGTAAAGAACAGAACCCACATAACAAAGTAACTGGATGTGAAAAGCCACTCCATCCAACACAGACAGTACCTTCAGCCAATTTTTGGCTGACTTGTGCTTCCAATGATACACAAGAAGACAAACATCGCCATGCAAGATCTCCTGCATAAAGGAGGCCCCCAGGGCCAAGGGAGGAAGTGGCGTCAATGCACGTTCCTTATACATGTGAAGGGAAGTCTGAATTTCGGCTAGTTTCTGAGGCCATGATTCTAGTCGCCATAAAAACTGATGACGAGGGTCAGTCAGAAAGTATTATAGGGCATTGTTAGATATAATATACCCCCATTTGATGCTCATCAAGACTTATTGACTTCTGGAAGCTTGGATAGTAAGACCTTGTAGGCAGGCAAAGAAAACCAGCTGTGATATCTACTGCTCTCATGAGTATAAGGGTCTCAAGGTGGCCCACAAACTTGGAAGCATTGCGACCACCACCGATATTGTCAATGTGATTTTTCGGTTTACCCCCTTTGACCTTCTCCCAGCCTTCATCCACAATCGACTTTAGGGACCAGGCCATGGCCATCCCAAACTGCAAGAACTTTAACTCTATATCACTTTCCATTGATCGCAGACAAAACCATTGTTCAGGATCCAAAGGCGTCTCAAGGAATGCTCGGCAAATGATCGGAACAGACCAGACCAATAAGGACCATTTCGCAGCAGTGTATCCTGTTGCTTCATAAATAAGAAATTAAGCACAGGCCAATCCTCCGATTTAAGAACAGTTAGTGTATACCTGCAGGGCTTTCAACTGGAGAAGAATGGTCAATCAACATGTTGGTGCAGAAGAGAAAAGTGATAGTGTGGGAAATCAGGTCCAATTAAAGCCATTTGGCAATTGCCATGACTACATTTTTCCAGAAGATCATGTCCAAATTGAGCAATTTGGCCTTGGGTGATGTACGCTTCAGTGAAGACCCAAGGAGATGCAAAACATTGCATAAAGATGAAAAAAAAACTATGAAAGGAAATCACTGCACAAGGTATGTAGCAGATTGTTTCTTTGCTACATAATTAAGTTATTTTTGCTATAAAGAAATTTCAAAAGCCTACTCATAGCGCTTATAGAGCCATGGTCATATTCATATCAAAGAGATACTCGTATATATTGCTACATAGTGCAGGGCATATATGAAGAATGTAAAGAGGGGTGCATCATAGAAACACTGTGACTATATACCTTCAGGGATAGTAGTGAAATTTCCTAGGAAATGGTGTGAGCACTTACACACCTTGACTCTATGCATTGCACACCAGATATGCAGCAGCGAACACGCTTCTGGCAGTTTTGAAGCCAAGGTGCAACTCTGAAGTCTAGACCCAATTGCCTGTTTTGATCTCAATGATAGAATTTGAAATTAGGTCATTGAGCTGGATGGCCTGCTTAGTCATAAATCTCATCGAGTGACTGGGTTACAGATAAGAACAATCCCGCTATTTTGCAAGGTAAGGATTTGACTAGATTTTTGGGTGAAAACTGTGTTTGTCCTGAAGAACACATAGACTTTCGAGAGGGAATTGCATGCGATGGATCCCCAATGTTGTAGGAGTCTGAAAGACGCCTCCAGGGTATGTGATCCCCATGAAGTAGGAGAGAAGAACGAAGTTGTATTGTCAAAGCTGACAAAGAGGGGAAGCAAAACATCTGGTATTGAGATGGGGGGTAGGACCAGTGAGGAGGATGGATAAGTGCCTCTTGAGGGTCCATCGGCAGGATTGACAGTGCTGGTGATATATCTTGTGTTGATGTGGAGGTCATTGGAGGTAGGGGAACTGCGCATCCATCAGAAAATGTTGTTAATGTCTGTATTGCAGTGGTGGCCATTCCACTAGCCTTTGACAATGGATTTGCGGTCTTCATGGAGCTTAACATGGGAATTTGAGAGTTCTGGGCAATAAGGGAAAACTGGATCTAGTAGAGAGATAAAATCATCGGACTTAAATTGCTTTGGGAGCGTTCGTACAAGAAATTTGAAACCAAGTCCCTCAGTCCATTGCATATCTCATTTTCCGGAATTCCATCCTGGTAGAAGTCATGAGGCTGACCATCTGTTTCCGATAATAATCATGATTCTGATACTGGAACTTGCATATGAGAATGCGGCAATATCGATGACTGAACATGGACCCGGTATGGTAGGAGAGGGGTTGGAAAGTAATTGGGACAAACACCAGTTGAGAGGAGGGATGGTGCGTTTTTGTGCACGTCGTGGCATGAAAGGATGGTCACTGGCAACTGCAAGACCCATGGGAACAACACGGGTGATTGGAGAGGACATGAACGTCTGTTGACAACCAATTATGGATCGCAGACACATTTTTCTCCTGCTTGTCAGATGGTAGAGAGATGGCCCAGGTGTCCAGATTCCAGAGGATACCCGTGAATGAGAATGACAGTGAGAATGGAATGTGCTTCCATGTGATGCAAAGCTCTTGTGATATAGTGTCAGTGTCTTTGAATTTATAGGTGAAATTTGCATCGTCTGCCTCTCGTTGAGAAAGACTAGATCAATCTCGAACCGAGCAGAGACTGGTATAGCGATCTCAATCGTGCGTGACCAGAATAGCATCACGAGACACATCCGGATGACTTTCAATGTTGCCAAGGAGGTCTTGATGCTCCTCACATTCAACATGGTCAACTACAGGTGATAATCTATGTATGAACACGTCATCTACGGTTTGAAAGTCCATGATATCGACCTAAGTCATAAAAGTGTGTCCTGGGGAGCAGCCCGAGCGTGTAGAGCAATGGAGGGACGACGCGACATTGTGGTGAGAGTGAATTCCAAGTTCAGACACACATGCCCACAGTGCCAGATTCTGGCCATGACTATTTTTAAGTTCTGCACATCCCCCCACTCTACCTCTCGATCAAATCCTAGACTAGAGCTTTTGGTAAAATTTGAAGTTCGAACTGCTCATGTGCCTTTGACTTGCCAGCTGATATAAGCTCATTCCAAAGAGGCAGGAATGGCTGCGGACCACCAATCCCTGAAGTGCTGTCATGTACCCATAGAAATAGCTGGAGATAATATGAATGTCATCTAGGGCTATGCAAACATGCTCCAGAACATAAGTCATGAGGGAAACAAGGCAGAACACTGTCAGATGAGTTTTTGACCCTCTGGGCTAGACAGGCCTGTCGGGGCTACATTGGGTGATGGGCATGCAACAGGGAGGATAAACGAAGTCGATCAACGTGCGTTAAGTGTTTCCACGTGGTCGGCAACTGTCGGGGTTTCAAATCTGCACCCACGCATCACACATACTGAGAACTTCTTAGCTCTAAACCACCATGCCGCCCACTAGAGGAACGAAACACCACCGAAAACCACCATTGCCTCATGATCTGGAAGGATCGGAGCTGTTTGTCATTGAAGACGACTATCCTGCACCTTCTTCAGTAAATCGTGGGAAGGGTAAATGATGTACACCACTCAGGGACATCATCGAAATTTCATCAGATGAGGAAGACACAAGTTCTAAAGCTTTGCGTATGAAAATTTTGGAATTGCAGGCCTTTGTCAAGAAGCTTAAAAAGGTAAAAATAGTGACATGCATTGAACTCCTCCATTTAATTTATTCTCTAGGAGACAACAAAAGCAAAATGTTCACAGACAGAAGCTGAGAAACGAGCTGAACATGCTGAAGAAGCACTGAAGATTTCTCAGGCGAGCATCACTGGGCAATTTCAATCTAGTGAAATGATTGTGAGGTTCTTTTCTGGACCGCAATGATGCCTTGACTGACCTATAGATAGAATCCCTTAAAACTGGAACCCGATATTACGTGTGGCATGTGTGCCTCACTGATGTGGTCGCCTTACCTGTAAGCACCACCTAGTTATGCTGAAAAATATGTCCATTCAAACCAGATTACCAGGTTGCCTGAATGCAGGCATATTTTCTGTGAAAGTTGCCTACTAACATGGTTCGATACCATTGACAAACATTATCGGCAGCAGCACCCCCATTACCATTGTGATCAACCTATCCTGCTCCCCCCTTTTCTCCAGGAAGCAATGTCCTATCCCCAGATCAAACCCCACAAACTCCTGCAGTTGATCAAACAGATAACACTCAAATCTAACAGGCCAGTCTTTACCTGTCCCAACTGCCATGAAAAGGTGAAGAACCAACCAGTGGAAGTCTTTCCGATGAAGTCTCTCATCTGAACAGTTGCTGCTGCTCTGGGTGAGAATAGCCCTGCATCTGATGGCAAAGAACTTTATAAGAATCCCTGAGAAAAAGGGCCATGGGATAGATTCTTTCTTCATTTGTAATTATGAATGTGTATATTTGGTGATGTCTCAGTGCCTTTTTTTCCAAATTACTTTATGAATCTTGATAGCACTTAACTGTTTATATACAATTCATTATCTTTTGAATATCTAGTGTCAATTGGGTGATTTCAGATGAAGCAGTATCCGGGGTGAAAATCCCAGCTCTTTTTTGTAATTTCCCAATGATAGAGTAATTTTGTGAATAGTTTATCACTGTAATGCCACCAAAAAAAAAGGAAAAGCAGTGTCTATGGTCAAGAGAAAACGACGAGCCAGCAAAGAGGTGAGATATTGATTCTTCAGAGGCTCAACATTGACTCAAAAGAACTGAACAGTCAGTCCTAACAGGGACTCATCATTGAGCATACATGACTGTGGTATCAGTGGGATTAGAATACTGGAGCAAGATAGGGCATGCAGTGAACGACAATGCAAAAGGGCAGTTAACTGTCAGACCAGGGCATTGAACTTTGCTGACAACTCTGTGAGGAGTGTGGATGTAACGCCAAAAAATGTAGTATATTACCAATATTTATGAGCTACTCTGTATGTAATAGTGAGACTAGGGGGGCAGATGGTGTAGTGGTTACCTCTGCTTGCTCGATTGTACCTCGTTCCACACAGAAAATATTTATTTTCGCACTCGCGAGTTCGAGCCCCCCACCCCCCAGAAAGTAACACTCTAGACACTTTCCGGGTTCTACCACTTCCGATATCCGAATCACGTGAAACGCAGCCTCCCTTTCTAAAACATGATCAAGTCACGCACATTACCCCCTCTAAAATCACACGACAAATCTTATCTCTCCTTGCCATTCTGGGCATCGGTTCGAGGCCCTTCCAGTGATCTTTCGAATAAGACAGGGAAACGGAGTCGCGTGCCGCAAGGCTGCCGCCTGGTTGGGACCCAGGTGTAACAAAATGGAGTGGTGATCCAAGCACACCCCGGCCCGGCACATCGCCCCCCGCATCAATTGATCACACTGTGTTGGTGATCTTGGCCGAGTAAGGCAGGTCTGGGAAAGAGAGACCGGAGAAGGACTGGGATTGATGGAGTTTGGTGGGAAGTAGGACTAGGCCATGAGAACGGTCTGGTGAAGAAACGACGGTGACGGATAGATTGCGGCCATTTCTCGGCAGAGGTCAGGATTTCCCAAAGTGGGAAAAGGTGGCAGTGCCCGAGTCGCACCAAGTTATCGAGGGCGAGGGATAATTTTGTGCCATAACATAAGTGCACAGCTTGTTAAGCTGACTTAATCGATGACATCATACACACAGTAACACAAGTAGCTAAATTGGACCATACGCATGCGTAACCAATATACTTAGGATTTAAAAAAAAAAAAAAAAAATAATGAGACTAAACATTGAGAACTGAAGCTTGTACCAGCCATACACACTTGTTCCCAATAAGGTGGGTTCCCATGCCTGGTCAAGTGCCGCAGTGACCTTGCCAAAAATGCAGACCTACAATTCAGGGGTGGCAGATCATGGCAGTGGCAGCAGAAAACCTCAGTTTTAAGGATCTTCCATCTAAATCTAGTACTCTTACCTTCAGTGACATCTGTATACTGTTATAAACATCTCATTTATGATTTGCGGTGTGTTAAATTTACACCAAATCATGAAGAAAAAGTGCCAGAGCAATGCCGAGGCTATCTTGCCATGGGCTCGGCAAGATCAATGATGTCATTATTCCATATTTGAATCGGCCAGCTCCAATGGCTGGAAGGCATGGTGCTCACCAGAAAAGATAATGATCTACCAGTGGCGCTCCACTACCCCTAGTCAGTCAATGTGCTTCAAAGTCTCTAAATCATGTCATACTCTTGGTAACCACATGTGCTCTGCAATCCACTAGGTGCATCAATGTTAACAGATGTTCATTCACAAAATATTTGAAGCCTGATAAATCAATCGTGAATGGCCCAATAATTGATTGATCACACCATGAGAGTGATCAAAGCATTTTCCAGATGGTAGTGAATTCCATTGAAAAACTTGCACCCCAGCTGTCTGTGGATCAGAATGCATATATTGCTTGTCCATCATCTTACTAATAGATACAAAAAGGATGGTAGAAAATCACCTCAAGTCCCACTCAGCACTGAGAGGCAGTGCCTGGTCATGTGGCCATAGTACTTAGTCAACCACAGCATGATATCAGCATCTCTTATCTTCCCCTCATCTCCACTGCAAGATGACTTCTGTCATTGGAAGCGACCATTATGCTTATCGCCCAACCATTTTCTACCATACCCCTGCTGCCCCTTCTCGAGCTGAGGGCCCTGCTGAAACCAATGCAGCGAAGAGTCCTGCCGTTGCTGGGATGAAAAGCATCTGAGAGGATCTTCGGACGCTCATGCTCACTCTGCAACCCCTTGACAGGTTCCCTCTCAATAAAGATTTGTCCTCTGAGGACAATCATATACCCCTCATACTTTGAAATGCTCCCAGCCACCTTCGCAGTTGGCTCTTGGATGTCAGTAGGTGGGAACATGATAAAATATATATGACAGCGGTTAACGAGGAGGACAAATCATGGATTCAAGAGCATTACGAAGAAGTCATCGAGGCCATGCCTGTTCAGTGTGTTATTATGTGGATCAGCTTTATCTTGAGTGTTGACTATGGCTTCTTAGACTCAAATTGTGGGAAAATAATATAATTCTACAAATACCATCTCAAATCCATCAATTCACCAGTTGGGTCATCCAGAGAGCAATGGATAAATATGAATCTGGCACCCACTCTCTCACTTATGGAAACTGCTGATGTCCCTCTTTCTGATAAGCATTGGAAACAGTGCGACATCCAAATCTATGACTTAGGGCCTCCACCTGACAATGCCAGCCTGGCAGTCCGAAAGTCTTACTCATACCCCACTGTTGTCATCGAAGTCGGATTCTCTGAATCCACCACGGCTTTAGATTTCGACGTTGCATGAGCTCTCTGCTTGATGGAAGGGAGGCTGTGGATTGGCATTGCCCTCAATATCAGCAAAGGCCAGATGCCTGTCCTCACCGTCAGTGTCTTTTGGTTTGGGCTAGACTTGATGTCAGAAGAGAAGGTTGCAGAAGAAAGGATTGAATCTGGTCAAGTGTATGGCTGATACGAGGGGCATTGGGTACCGGTCATGTATCAAGACCAAAGATGCTACAATCATTTCTTGGCCATCAGGCCAGAGACAATTGAAAAAAATGGGGAACATGGCAAACTGGTCTACTATTGTGTGAAAAAGGATTCCTGGGTAGTAAGTTCCATATATTTGCCGGCATGAGTTAATTCCTGAGTTCTCCTAGATTACAGAGGATGGGCATGGCCCTGAGCAAGATATCATTATCCAGGAGGGGTATTATAAGCATGCTTATAAGGACTATGATGCTCCTGCTCTGACTATCCCTGCTGATGAATTGTGGAAAGCCCTGTTGAAATGTAAAGAAGTAACAGGAGTGCTAAAAAGTGATATGGAGTCCTACAAAAATACTGGTACCACTGGGGAACCCGACACCGAGGATTCCGAGCCAAGTGAAAGGTGGCAGCAACAGGTAGTTATGGAGGTTGATTTCAATGCTCCTGTTCCGAAGAAGTTGAAATGAAGCCACTGACATCATAATGACATGGACATTGAAGGAATTAAAATTTGGTGTGTTAATGAATTATCATTTACGCTTCACCCAAGATGGAACTAACCCTGCCATGTCTCAGTTTCGTCACTTGAGCCTGTGAGGATCAGTATTTTTTCTAGCGAGCACAGGTATTGCTGATCAGCCGCTGGAGTGATCGATTTGAAGTGCAACCAAAAACGTCGATCTGTTGTGCTTTCGTCAATCTTCAGCCGTTCCTCTTCAGAATATGCATACTGCCCCTTTATATACTATATTTTCATTTTACCAAGTCCTGGATTTTTCGTGGTAGCCAATAGTGGTTTTTCATCCTTGTATTAACGTGATGATGGTTGACTGGGACACCCCCTGTGTGGCTGTGAGATCAATTGTTGTTCAGCTCAACCTATCAAGCTTGATACATTGATGGCAAAAGTACACAGGACAGATGAGAATTTGAGGGATATCTGAATGCCCACAATAGGGTTACATTTTGGGAGGTCGATCTAAGATCTTGGCAGAAAATTTACATAAAATTTGCGTATTCCTGACTTGATCTCTGACGAGTGGCATGGGATTTAGATCCTCTGTCGACCAGTACACCTATACCTCTTGTTTGTCAACTCGGTGTTTGGCTGCAGCTCTGTTATATCCACTTATACATTGCATACCTTTCTCCTTCCTTAGTTATCTTTTACATTCCCTTGATGCTGAGGAAGTACACCTTTTTTATTTCACTACCTACGAACGTATGCTTTCGGATTACTGTGTAGACTGACTGTGTCCATACTCGTTAGGTTCACTGGTCATCATCCTCCAAAATGGGAAGTTAGCCGAACCCCAACGAATTTGTAAAATGTTACATTCATGCTCAAAATTCAGGTTTGCCAAAATTTGGGTCTTTCCTGTGCACTGATTGTAATGGGATGTGGATGGCATCATTCATTTGAGCTTTGTTTACCTATCCTTTCGGACAGCTAGGATTTCTACTACCATGTCATTTTTGGGTTTTTCGTGCTCTGCCTAAGTTACATCGACTCGCCTGATGCTTTCTCATGCATTGCATGATCTTACATCGCACCTCAACTGGCCCTAGTTTCTGCAGTCTTGACACTTTGCTTTCGACATGACTGTGCTTGTTTGACTTCTGAACCGGTGTTATGCGGGTCGGCACGTCACCGAAGTCATCAGTCAGGGTCATTGGATGGCTTTGACTTTCGCCCCAGTGACCGGAATCCCGAGGCCATGGTGCCTATGCTGGTCACGCTGACAAACCAGACAAATTAGTCCCAGGCTACCGTATCTGCGTGACTGCACTTTGACCTCTGCATACCGGTGCTTCTGCCCTCATAGTACATTTCTTCTGCCGATATCCCCTAGCGATAATCGTAGTAGTGAAATAAATATATCTCTTTCTCCAGTCTTTCATGTCAAAAGATGCTAACACCGGGCTAAAATCCGTGATGGATATTCTCAAT